AAAGTTGGTGTTAATTAAATCATTGTCTTTTATTTTAAAAAGTTCAGTTATTGTATTTTTTTTTCCAGTTTTTGGCCTGGGCTGGGTTTGAACCCGCCACCTCCAGCATATGGAGCCGGCGCCCTACTCCTTTGAGCCACAGGCACCGCTCTGTATCTTTTTTTTTAACATAGTGCTTTGCTTTTTAGATTCTTTAGGCTATTTATTTAACATAGTGCTAATGCTTTTTAGGTTGTTTAGCCCAAAGATAGAACATACTATTCTACAACATGGTAAATTTCTTGAAGGCATTCACCATGTCTAAGTCATCTTTCTGTCTCTAACAATGACTTTTTACATGAGAGATACTCTCTAAATATTTGTTTAAAATAACATGACATTCTATTAATTGAAAACTTTTTACTCTTTTAGAAAAATTACATTTATATTTTTAAATATGGTAGTGGCAAATTCACCACTGATTTGTTGATTGAATTCTCCATTGTTTGCTGAGAAAGTCATAAATACATACCTTTTGGTGAAATGTAATAATAAGTTTTACAATTTTAGATGTAACAAATTAGGATATCTGGAAAACATAAGGCACATTTAACTCCTATGCAGAGCTACATAGATATTAGGCTTAGGAAGAGATTCTTAATTCCTTCCACCAACATTGCAAATAACCAACTTGGATGTGCTGAACTGAGTCCTTCTATAATCTTTAGAGATCTTTGAAAATACACCTTACTAGTTCCTACTTTCTGTCCAGTTGTCCCAACAGTAATGATAGATAGCTCTATAATTGTCTGTGGCTGCTATCTGCAATGGAATCATCTTCAGCTATTCTAACACATCCAAATATTGGCAGACTGAGTATAACTGATGCATAGGATGAACTAGCTTCTGCCCTCAGAAATCTAGCTCAAATTCTTTCCCAGATCCTTTTAGAATGAATACAGTCATATCAGTAAACACCTAGCACCTTGCTCATTGTATTCTTTAAATACAAAAGATGTTTGTTAAACTGAGTTGATGTATTGCAAAGAAAGAAAACTGCTTTGATCACAGTTCTAAAATCTGAAAAGAATTATAATCCCAAACAGTAGCAAGACCAAACCTATAAAACAGCATTGAGTTGATGCTAGACATCATTAATTTTATACTTTAGAGCAGTCCATTTTACATTCTATAGCACTAAGTGGTGGGCACATGGAAAATGAAATGCTCCTGGACCCTGTGGAAAGTTGTCTAATGCATAAGTGGATCCATGAAGTTCAAACCTATCTTATTGAACGATCTGCCCTCAGAAATCTAACCCGAACTCTTTCCTTATGCAAGGGTCTGGAGGATTTAGGTAAATTAGACTAAGTGACAAGTTTTTGATTCCACTAGTGAAAGAAAATTAAAATCACAGAAATATGGTCCTTGAAGGTGCCATGAATGTCATTTAATCCAACCCATTATTATACAGCCCCAGAGAAGTTAAATAGACTACCCAACACAGTAGATTAAAAGCAGAGTTAAGACTAGAAGCCAGGTATCAAGTACCATACCTAGAACTTAAAAATGTAGACCAGTGGGTCCTGACCCCTTTGGACTGTATTAACAGTTCATGGCAGTAGGAAGGTTGAGAAGCACTGACAATCTGCTGGAGTAAAATGTGGTGTTTTAAAAACTGGAGTCTTGGCTCGACACCTATAGCTCAACTGGCTAAGGCGCCAGCCACGTACACCTATGGTGGCGGGTTCGAATCCCCAGCCTGGACCCGCCAAACAACAATGACGGCTACAACCAAAAAATAGCCAGGCGTTGTGGCGGGCGCCTGTCGTCCCAGCTACTTGGGAGGCGGAGACAGGAGACTCGCTTGAGCCCAGGAGTTGGAGGTTGCTGTGAGCTGTAATGCCACGGCACTCTACCCAGGGGGACAGCTTGAGGCTCAGTCTCAAAAAAAAAAAAAAAAAACTGGAGTCTTTTAAGGCTGTAGAGTAGGGCCAAGAGTTGATTTATGTGTTCCTGGTAGTCTTAGCTACATGTATCACTTGAGAAAAACTGACTTCATCTATAATTAAACCCTATTTTGTATAGTGTTGTTGAATTATTTTCTTTTTTTGAGACAGTCTCACTCTGTTGAGAGTGGCCTGGCATCAGCCTAGCTCACAGCAACCTCCCAATCCTCAACTCAGTCTCCTCAGACTCCGTTCAAGTGATCCTCCTGCCTCAGCCTCCCAAGTAGCTAGGACTGCTGGTGCCTGGCATGATGCCTAGCTAATTTGTCTCTATTTTTAGTAGAGACTGTGTCTTGCTGTTTGCTCAGGTTGATGTCAAATTCATGAGCTCAAGTCCTCCCGTATGGGTTTCCCAGAGTGCTAGGATTACAGGCATGAGCCACCACACCTAGCCTTGTTGATGAGTTTTCTACTTAAGAATTTGCTATAACTTTTCGAAGACTTGTTAGCAGAGTGGATTGTTAAGTAAGATGGGTTTGAACTGCACAGATCCACTTATATACTGTTTCTTCTTAACAAAACGTGGATTGAAAAAACAGTATTGTGGGGATCTGAAACCCACATGCACAGAGGGTCACCTTTTTGTGTATGTGGGTCCAGCTATGGAACTTGAGTATATGTGGATTTGATTATACATGAGTGGTCCTCGAACCAATCCCTTACATTTACAGAGGGACAACTGTATATAACCTAGAATATTGTTGAATTCCACAGGAACATTAAAATAATCTGAATGGAGTCAATCTTCCTCTCTCGAACCTTACTTTTGTAATATTTTCTGTTCGTGTGTCAGTTTGTCAGGAATTAAAGAGTGATCACAGCTGATATTTTCATTTCATTGGTTTTGTATTTTATTTTTTTCAATAGCAATTTTAAGTCCTTTTATAATTAAAGTAATCAATTTGAATCTGAATGATGAAGGACATTGAGATACAAAAGAGCTTTGAAAGTTAACAGGGAACTATGCTCCTTACATGGATCCTTTGAATGAAAGCTGTAATAGTGTGGATGCTTGATGAAGGAATAGAAGCTGCTGCTGTTTAATGTATTCTCCACTCTCAGTGTGTGGATGCAGCCTCCAAATTTTACAAAGAAAATAATCAGCACAGCATCTTTGCTTTCCTGTGGATTGGTCTTTTTGTAAAGCAGCCTCATGGTTTTCTTAGTAAAAGTATTTTATTTCAAAATATATCTCTAGACACTTACTCTTGGTAGGCCTGGGAAAATGTAGATTACTTCATGTTTCTTCAAAATTCCTTTCAAAGAAACAAGTCAGGCTTGATTTGTGTTTTAGAGATAGAGGAAACTAGTAAGGTAGGAGGATGGAGAAAATCTTAACTTTGCTTTGAGGGGAGAAAAAAATTTTTCATGCCTTTGTTGTTACCTTCTGCATTAGTCATAGGTCCCTTCCTCCTTGGCCATGGGTGTTCCAAAGGAACAGCAGCAATTTGCAAGTTTGTAAAAGGACAGAGCACAGAGAAGAAAAATGGCTGATACAAAAAAAAGTGAAGGGGTTTATTTCCTCCTCTAGGTTTTTATAGTTGTGATTTTAGATTAACCAATAGTTTTTAGATATCTGGCCTTCTCCTTTGCTCCTTTGTTTTACTACTTTTGAAGTTACAAAATGCAATTCTAAACTCCCAACCCTAATTGTAAGATAGTATTAGAAGTCCAGTTTTTTTAAACGTTATAATGAAGGTCAACTACAATGGAAAACTAGTGGACATAGTTAATACAGATACTGGGAATAAAAACTTTTTCCTCTGCCAACTTGAGTTTAGATGGGAGGGGCTGCAGGTCAATGGACAGTGGACCTAGTAACCAGAGAAAAGTCAAAGTTTATTCATTCTTGTGGGAGTACTCTGTAATCAGTAATTCTCTGAAGAACATACCAATTTAACAAAAGGAGGGGAGGTTAGGTAGTCAAAGCACAGAAGTTCTTTTTTTTTTTTCTTTTTTTTTTTTGAGACAGAGCCTCAAGCTCTTACCCTGGGTAGAGTGCTATGGCATCACAGCTCACAGCAGCATTCAACTCCTGGGCTCAAGCAATTCTCTTGCCTCTGCCACCCAAGTAGCTGGGACAACAGGCACCCACTACAATGCCCGGCTATTTTTTGGTTGCAGCTATCTTTGTTGTTTGGTGGGCCCTGGGCTAGATTCGAACCCACCAGCTCTGGTGTATGTGGCTGGCACTTTAGCCACAGTGTTCTAATGCACAGAGCCAAAGCACGGAAGTTCTAATGCAGCTCATTTATATAATTTTTTTGAATGTCCTGGTGCCCAAGGTCTGTTGTTTCTCTGACTGCAACTCCCTGGTAGGATTGGAGGGTTGTGACAGCTGCCTCAGTAAAGCTCTCTCCTTTAGTCAGATAGAGAAAGTCAGGTTAAAATTTCATAGTGCATTTGTTGTTACATTTTTAGTCCCTTCACTGATTTCTTTTTCTTGTTGTTGTTGTTTTGAGACAAAGTCTCACTCTGTCACCCTTGGTAGAGTGGTGTGGCATCACAGCTCACAGCAACCTCAAACTCTTGGGCTTAAGCGATTTCTCTTGCCTCAGCCTCCCTAGTAGCTGGGACTACAGGCACCCACCACAATGCCCAGCTATTTTTTGTTGTTGTTGCAGTTGTTGTTTAGCAGGCCCTGGCCAGTTTTGAACCCACCTGCCTTGGTGTACATGGCTGGCGCCCTACCCACTGAGCTACAGGCGCCACCACTGATTTCCTTTTTTTAATTTGGATATAGTCTAATGACTTTCAAAGTATCTTTACATATCTCATCTGATTCTCACCAGACTTTTAGGTAAATAGGGAAAATACAGTTATTCCTATTTCATAGTTAAGGAAACTAAGATGCAGAGAGATTAAATATTTGTTCACACAACTAATAGAACTAAGATAAGAATTTCAGGTATTTAGCATTTCTCACTATGCCTTTGGGATTGAATAATTTATAGTCAATTTATAAGTGCTTTGAAGATGCCAAGGTTGAGTGATGTTTTATTTGTTTTGTAGGAGAAGATGGTGTGAATTGGTTCATCAGTGAAAAAGATATTGAGGTAAAATTAAATTGCTTTTGAAATTCTCTGTAACAGGTTAATAATTTACTTTAAGTCAGTCTTACTATGATAACTTTTGGAACATCAACTTTTTTCAAGTAGCAGTAATCTTAAGTGGCTTATAAGAAAATGTTTGACTTTAGTACCTGAGTAATTTAACTCTTCAGAAACTTGGTTCACCCTTGGCTTTTATCAGTGAGTTAATGGTCATTATCATTTAGTCCCCTTTCCCTTTTTGTGTCTCCTCTACCAATGTGAATCCCCTCAGCCCTGGAACCACTAAAGATCAACACCGGAAATAACTGCTGCTTCAGTGTAAGGAAATGGTTAGTCTATTTTTAGGATGTGACAGGTGTTTATCTTTGTCATTTATTAGCCTTAATCATGGCAGATGCTAAAAAAGAGAGTAAAAGTTTTAAGAGATAACCAGATCGTATCTATTTGTAGCCTACTTAGCCAGTTCAGCAAAATAACAAATAAAAGATGAAAACTTTTTCAATGATGAAATTTTATCAAACAAGACAAAAGCATAGTTGAGATTCACATGCTCTTATTTAGATATTCCATATGATATGCTTTGCTAAAGACAAAATTGAAAAAAAATCATTATCCTCTAAGTAAAAAATTTATGCACAACTCTCATTCAGGAAAATGTGATATACTTTCAGTTACAGAAGTCAGCAGTGGTTTTGACTTTTAGAGTGTCTAGGTGATGCATGTCAGTATCACTGCTAGACCTGAACCGTAAGTACAGAAGAATAGAAAAGAAAAGAAAAGAAATGAATAATTTGGAGAAGTGTCAAAGAATGGGTAAAAGTGGCAGACAAAAAGGAATAGTTATCTTTACAGTATATCCCTTTATTTTTCCACCTTCTTTTGAAAGAACAGGAGAGATCACAAAAACCCCTGTTGCTGAATTCATATCGAACAGAAATCAATGTTAAAACTCTTGCCTTCTTCCACATTAATGGAAATGACTTGAAGTTTGATGGCTCTTTACTCACTGATAGTTGTCTTTAAAAAGAAGAGTAGTTTTTATTAAACAGAGTGAAATGATTTTTTTTTTTTAATTCTTGATTCTTTTTCCCGTAGGCCCAGATAGCTAATAACAGATCTCCTAGAAGATTGGCCCAGCGATACTACTCAGACTACAAAAACGTTATCTGTAGAAATTGTGACAAACGTGGCCATTTGTCAAAAAACTGCCCCTTACCACAAGTATGTAAAATATGTAATACTTCTTCTCACGTTTTGAAAAATCAAGATAGATTTAAAACCCTGTAACTTTAGAATTCAAATTATTTGTATTGTGGGTGTTAAATTTCATTTGGGTCACAGCCTCAATATAGGGGAAAGAACAATATATTTAGAGTCTTAAAAACTTAGAATAAATTTCAGCTTCCTATTACTAGTCGTATGATCTTCGCCAAATCATTTAACTCTCTATACTTTTGTTTTCTTATCAATAAATAAGAAGATTGCATCATATGATTATGAGACCCCTTGTACTTTATACACAGCTTATTTCACTGTGGGTTAATTTTCATTATTAGAAAATTATAATTTTAGTGATTCATAAAAGATTGTTGATAACTATGTTAAGCCAGGTACATTAACACTTCAAACAACATAGAATGGAAATCTCAGACATTTGCTAGCACATACTAAGCTCTTAGCAAACATTCATTTCATAACCTCTTCTTCCCTAGTCCAAATGACTCGCTTTGAAATACATACATGAAACAGCTCTCATGTTTCCTTTTTGTTTGTACTTCTCTACGCAAAACACCCCTTTCTGTATCTGTTCCTCTTGTGATTTAGCTTCTAGATAACCTTATTATTCCATATTCTCTCTGAGATACCTTTCACTTTGTCAATATTTCCATATTCCTATAAGACAAGGCATAAGAAATAAATGTCAGTCTGTACAGACTAAGCCTTTATGCAGCGGTTCTCAACCTATGGATCACGACCCACAGGAACTGTATTAAAGGACTGTAGCATTAGGAAGGTTGAGAAACACTGCTTTAGTCTTGGCGCCTGTAGTTCAAGGGGCTAAGGCGCCAGCCACATACATCTGAGCTGGTGAGTTCGAATCCAGCCTGGGCCTGCCAAACAATGATGGCTGCAACCAAAAAATAGCTGGGCGTTGTGGTGGGTGCCTGTAATCCCAGCTACTTGGGAGGCGGAGGCAGGAGACTAGCTTGAGCCCAGGAGTTGAAGGTTGCTGTGAGCTGTGATGCCATAGCTCTCTACCCAGGGCGACAGCTTGAGGCTCTGTCTTAAAAACAAAAAACACTGCTTTATGGCATCCACGGTACACAGTAGCTTATATTAAAACTCTAATTACAACATTTTATTTGAGTTATGCTCAAGATTTGGGCCTTGATTGGGGTCTCAAATTAGCAATAACTTTTTATGGGATTATATACTAAGAGAAATAGCAATCTTCTACTATTTGAGATTGAAGTGTTTTGCTAAAGAAATTTTATGTTTTATATTTTTTCTGCCACATAGAAAGTTCGTCCATGCTTCTTGTGCTCCGAAAGAGGACATTTACTATATTCCTGTCCAGCTGCCCATTGCGTAAACTGTCCTTTGCCGAAGAAATTGGGCCACAGATGTCTTTTCAGATACTCTTGGTCTAAACAATGTGACCGATGTCATATGCAAGGCCACTATACTGATGTGAGTATCCTGCATATAATTAATTTTTTCATATAATTAATTTATCAGGTTTAGGGGGGTAATATGCCAGTTTATAACTAACAGTCAGCCTACCTAAAAGAATGTTTACTCTACATTATGCAGAATGGTAGTCATTGCCTATGGCCACGGAACATGTAAAAGGACTGGAAATATCAGGGCTAAGAGGCAAGATTAACAAATATTTTAAACCTATGCTATCCCCTTTCTTTGTGGGGTTCACAAAGGTTAAATTAAAGAGATGCAGTAACATATAAAATCTGTATATTTATTAGTGCATTTTTATTTTTATTATTGCAGATTAATTTGAGGGTACAAAGAATTAGGTTACACTGTATTTGTTAGGTAGAGTCCCTCTTATATTTGTGTCCCACCTCCAAGAGATTTGTCATATATCCGAATTATTAATGCATATTTAAATGAAATATATGAACACTTAGCAGTTGTATATAAGCATCTGTATGAAGCTTGGTTTCATGCTGCATGTTGATGATTCTTGCTGGTATAATAGTCTTAGGAAAGAAAGACAAGTCACCCAGTACTTTAAATATGCTTGTTTTATTAGCTCTTTCTTTAGATTTAAATAACAACAATAATTGCAGCACATTAAAAATGCTATTTTGGACATTGTTTGCATCATACTGTTAATGTGTGTCGAGTTCTGGTCACAATTTCAGAGACCAGAAAGGCTATTGAAGTAAGTAGATACAGCTTTGATGTGGAATATGTAGTTTTCTACATTCAATTTACTTCTAACTCCTAATGAATATCTCATTAAGAGTCTGTCATTTTAGCTCTTAATTGCATCTCTTACTACGTAGCAACATATGTTTATTTTATATTAACAGCTAATCAGTACAGAGTCGTTTCTCATACTCATACCTAAGTGCCAGTCCTAATTGGTTCAGGGAACATTTATGAAAGGGTTAGTGTTCACTCTCTTTTTCAAGCATTACTTATCTATTTTTAAAAAATAGTAAACGTCTTTTCCCTTTAATGTATGCTCCTAAAAGACATAATGCAAAGCACAGATATTTTTTCTGATATCATTTATATTAAAGTATATTTATAATCTTTTGCTCAAAAAATTACTATGGCTTTCTACTGAAATGAATTTCAGATTAAAACAAATTAGAGTGTGTTTGTTATGTGTGTTTCTCCTATAAATATGACAATTATGGATTATAATTTTACCAATATGTTCAGATTGTTACCTATTTTTTTAAATAAATGATGCTGCAGTTAACATCTTTTATTTGTGAGTATTTATGTTTATGTAAGAGTATTTGAGTAAAACAAATTTTATGAGTGGAATTATGAAATTAAAAAGTATATACATTTAGTCTGAAGAAATATTGTCATACTGCTCTTCTAAAAGATTTATAACCACCTCCCAGCAATGTTTGAGAAGTGAATACTGTAAGTATCAATGTTAAATATTATTGGTCCTTAAAAACTTCAGCTAATCATATAAAGAAAAAATGTTATTGTGTTGTTTTAATTTATATTTCTTAGGAGACTAATGAAGTTGAATATGATTGACTAATTTAAACGTTCTAATTCCCAAGAATAAATATAGTGATAGAAGGTTTTGTTTCATTACAAAGTAGTTTTCAATACTGTATTTACCAAGTCTTAAAAATGACAAATCCTAAATTACACTAGTATTATATTGTTGTTGTCTGCATTAAGTTGTCAATTATAATTTTCTTACCAAGATTTTTTAGTTTAGCAGTTATGTTTAATAACATCTGGATTTTACTTCTTTCTTGCAAGGAGCTCTTACCTATGATAACACAGTTTTTTGAAACAAACTATATAGCAGTTTAAAACTACTTGTAAAGGTCATATATCATCTCTGAATTCTTTTTTTGTTTGTTTGTTTTTATTAAAGCATAACTATGTATGATTGAATTAATTGATGAATTAATTCTATCGCTCATTCTCCTTAACTTCTTACCTTGGGCCTCTAATATGTGTTAAATTCTAATCTGAAATGAAGATCGGTAAGCCCAATGAATATACTTTTTTTTTTTTGAGACAGAGTCTCACTGTCACCCGTCCATAGAGTGGTGTGGCATCACAGCTCATAGCAACCTCAAACTCTTGGGCTTAAGTGATTGTCTTGCCTCAGCCTCCCAAGTAGTTGGGACTATAGGTACCCACCACAACACCCAGCTATTTTTTGTTCTTGTTGTTGTTACAGTTGTCATTGTTGTTTTAGCTGACCTGGGCCAGGTTTGAGTCTGCCAGCCTCAGTGTATGTCATCAGTGCCCTACCCACTGAGCTACAGGTGCCACCCTGAATATACATTTTTATTTTAAAGACACAGAGTCTCACTTTGTCCCCCTCAGTACAGTGCTGTGACATCACAGCTCACAGCAACCTCCAGCTCTTGGGTTTAGCCAATTCTTTTGCCTCAGCCTCCCAAGTAGCTGGGACTTAACAGGCACCTACCATAGTGCCTGGCTATTTTTTTGTTGCCATTTGGCCGGGGCCGGGTTCAAACCTGCCACCCTCAGTATATGGGGCTGGTGTTCTACTCACTGAGCCACAGGCGCTGCCCCCGACTATACATTTTAAAACACTGTTAAAATAGTGGTGTGCACCTATAATCAAGGAAGCTGAGGTAGGAGGACTGCTTGAGTCCAGGAGTTTGAGATCATCTCTGACACCATTCATTGCAAGACCCTGTCTCATAATAAAATAGGATTAGGCTGTTACCAACTTTAGAAAAGGCAATACCCCTTCTCCCAAAACTGCCAGATCTATTATTTTTGTTCTAATACATGATGAAGGTTCCAGGTACTGTTTGTTTCTAGCCTGCCCACCTAGCATAAGATTCCCTTGGAGCCCAGAGAAGCCTGGGTTCCACTGACTCCTTATGGAAAAGCTGATAGACCTTCAACTACCCAGAAACTCTTCATGAGGTTTCACATGAAAGTAGAATTATTCTGGCCCCAGGATACTGTTAACTGTTTTGCCCAGTCCCACAAATACTTAAGATTTGCCTTGCAACCTGGCCCTCCACAGAAAATAATTATTTGTTCTGCAACTCTCTCAAACTGCTCATTCTTCCTTGATCCACATAGTTCTGAATTAAGGGATAGGATCATCCTCTCTTCCTCTTTTGCCATGGTTGACTCTAAGTCATTACTCCTCCCTTTTTACAGAGATATCTTTGGCTTTTTTTTTTTTTTTTTT